CCTGGCAGTGCTGGGGAACAACTGACCCCCATCATCTCAGAGGTCTCTTCCAGCCACTATTATTCCATGACTCCATGGTTGTCCTGTGCCCAGCCTCACTGAGCTCTGCTGGGCTGCAGGATCCAGGGGCTGGAGCTTCTGGTGGCCAACTCCATCTCTCTGCTCTTGGTCCCTGCAGAGACCAGACCCTGGCTGTGAGGTGGCCCCTTGGCCACTGGGCTAGGGAACTTCCTCTAGCTCCATGCTGGGCGGAACTGGTCACTCCTTTTGGGCTGTGGAGGTGGTGATGGGGCAGGACCGTGTCCTGCTGCCTGGGAGGACCCCAGACGGTGGGTTTATGGGTGGGGGACACCTCAGGGTGGGGGACCCCGCAGTGTTGGCAGCAGGACCCCGTGTCTCGGCAGCAATATCATTGACGTGTCAGCGGCGGACTCCCAGGGGATGGAGCAGCACGAGTACATGGACAGAGCCCGGCAGTACAGGTGGGTCCTCGCAGCACCCCAGAACCCTCCTGGGGCAGAATTTTGGGGGGTTTGGGGCCCCGGTTTGCCCCCGGTGCCGTCAGCACCTGTCCCTCGGGCAGCACGCGCCTGGCCGTGCACAGCGGCTCCCTGACGCGCTGGAAGAAGCTCCCGCCGGTGCCGTCCCTCACCAACCAGCCCCACCAAGTGCTTGCCAGCGACCCCGTCCCCTTCGCAGACCTCCAGCAGGTGAGGGGGGCTCTGGGGTGGGGGGCTCACTGGCTGGGACCCCCTTGGTGCTCCTCAGGGAGGCGGGGTTGAGGTCTCCGTGTTTGTGGTGCTGGCTTTGCTGGCCGAGGTGGTGGCGATGGGAGCGCTGGGTTGTCCAGGGCTATGCTAGAGGCTCCTCCAAGGGCTGGTCGTGGTGCCTTCAGGAGCTCGGTGCAGCCCCACCAGAGGGATGTGGAGACCATGGGGTGGAAATCGGGCTTCTGGGGGGGTTTGGGTGGGAGTCATGGTGTGGGTGGGTGAGGTAGAGATGGAATCATGGAATGGCTTGTGTGAGTAGGGACCTTTCAAGGGCATCCAGTCCAACCCCCCTGCAGGGAGCAGGGACATCTGCAACTAGAGCAGGTTGCTCAGAGCCCCGGCCAACCTCCCCTGGAATGGTTCCAGGCATGGGGCAGTGACCACCTCCCGGGGCAACCTAGGCCAAGGGCTCACCACCCTCAGTGCCAAACATTTCTCTCTGGTCGCAATCAAACTTTGAATTTCAGACCGTCCCCCCTTGTCCTGCCCCAACAGGCCCTGTGAAATAGTGTGTCCCCCCCAGCTTTCTGCCAGGTCCCATGTGGCCTCGTAACCTTCTCCTGAGGTAGGAGCTCCAAGTGGTTGGGTAGCACAGTGGAAAGTCTGAAAAGCCTCAAAAGGAAAAGGCAGAAGAAGAGGTGGGAGGGAAGGTCCTGGAGAGATGCCGGAATGGGTGGCAATGCTTTAATTGCTGTTGCCATGAAGAGGCACCTGGAGCTCCAGATGTGGTGTAGTGGTGACCCAGCAGCTCTGGGTAACAGCTGGACTCAACCTTAAAGGTCTTCTCCAACCAGAATGATTCTGTAGTTCTACAAACCCCTCTGCTGGGAGCCCAGCAGGAGAGAGTTGGGCTTTAAGGGACCTTTTCACAGGGCCTGTTGGGACAGGACAAGGGGGGATGGTTTGAAACTCAAAGAGGGAGATTGAGACCAGAGAGAAGGGAGAAATGTTTCACACTGAGGGTGGTGAGCCCCTGGCCCAGGCTGCCCCGAGAGGTGGTCGCTGCCCCATCCCTGGAACCATTCCAGGGGAGGTTGGCCGGGGCTCTGAGCAACCTGCTCTAGTTGAAGCTGGGAAAAGGTCTAGAGCCCAGGTGTGGTGAGGAGCATCTGAGGGACCTGGGGGTGTCCACCCTGGAGAGGAGAAGCCCCAGGGGAGATCCTCCTGTGACCTTCCCAAACCTCAAAGAGACTTTGAAGGTCTCTCCCAACCAAATCCACGCTGTGATGGATCTCAGCACCACCCCAGCTCCCAGTCCCTCCGGGAGCTTCCCTGTGGTGCGCCCCTGCCGGTGACCGCGGTGGCGGTGACGGGGGTGCTGGGTCCCGCAGGTGTCCCGGATAGCCGCCTACGCCTTCAGCGCCCTCTCCCAGATCCGGGTCGACGCCAAAGAAGAACTGGTTGTACAGTTTGGCATCCCCTGAACCCCCCCGGCACCGCCGCGGCTCCACTGGCACTGCCGCGGCCTCCCTGGCACGGCGCCGCCACT